CTGAGATCTAAGGATCACAGTTTAAAGCTAGCCCACACAGAAAAAGTCCATGAGACTCTTATCTCCAATTCATCATCCTCCAAAAAACAGAAGTGGCTCTGTGGTTCAAAATGGTACAGTTCTAACCTTGAGCAAAAAAGCTCAGGACAGCATCCAGGCCCTGAGTTCAAGACCCATGATGAGCAAAAAATATTTAAGCTACATAAATGCAGACTACAATATCACAGATATACTCTATATTGAAGGGTTCTAGATTTCCCTAATATTATCTAAAGATTCATTAGAAGCCCAGTCCAGAGCCAAAGAGGATTTTTCATGCATTTCAAAGAGCCCTACATGGCTCAGGGGTTGGAAACAAGTGGCACAGGTATGCCAATGACCTCTAAAGAGTGAGAAAATCCTTCGAGGCACGGTTCACATAACAAACAAATTTATTTACACTATTTACACCAGAAAGGGGTCCTGCGACTACATTGTCCTGGGCTAGGTACCCAGAACCAAGAGCAGCCTCAACCATCAAACCTCCAAGTCTCCAATAGGCAGCCCCGATCTTATTAGTTGGTCTGCAAACCACCAATTAGTCAGTCAGTCTGCAAACCTCCAACCCCGGACCTCCAAAGCCGCAAAGCTCTGAAGGGGAAGGCTTTTCCTTTTCTTCCCTCCCTCCTTCTCTGCAGCCTCTCCACTATCCACAGGCCTGCCTCACCCTGCGCCAGGAGGCGCCTCTCCACTCTAGAGAAAGGTCCCAAATGGCCTCTCAAGGAGACCCCAAATGACCTCTGGAGGACGTCCAAAAAGCCTCTTGAGGAAACCCCAAATGACCTCTGGACTAGGTCCCCCAAATACCTCCCCAGGCTTGCCCTGGCCTACTCAGGTCTGCCCTGCTCTGCTCAGGCACTTTCCCCTCCTGCTGTATCTGTCTCCACTCCCCAAGTCTCTCCTTTTCCTCCCTCCACTTCTTTTTTTTTTTTAATTTTGTTTTTGGGTCTGGTCGTGGGGCCTGAACTCTGGGCCTGGGCGCTGTCCCTCAGCTCTTCAGCTCAAGGCTAGTGCTCTACAACTTGAGCTACAGTGCCACTTCCAGCTTTTATTCTTTTTGCTTATGTGGTGCTGAGGAATCGAACCCAGGGCCTCAGGCATGCAAGGCAAGCGCTCTACCACTGAGCCACCTTCCCAGCCCTTTCTGGAACTTTTTAATTATAAGGTTACATGCCTGTTAATTTTCTTGCTCTGTTTAGCTACAATTTCATGGTGCCTGTGCAGAACTGAGAAATGAACGTTACCACACAGAAAACTCCAGAATCAGGAGCACAGCAAATCAGAACACACAGCACAGACACTGTTAGAAGAGCTGAGATCCAGGTAGGCTTTTTCTCGTTTAAGAAAGTCTCCAAACACAGAAATGGAAGGCCAAAGGATGAACAAATGCTGCAAGGTACTCGCTGGACACTATGTTGAAAATGAACTACAGAACTATGGGTGAGGATGGGAGGGAAAAACTAGGAGAGAGCGAGAGAAAGGATGACATTGTCCAAAAAGAAATGTACTTTTTACCTGACTTGTGTAACTGTAAACACTCTACATATCACCTTAACAATACAATAAACATTTTTAAAGTCAAATCATTGATCTTAATTTTTAAAAAAAAAAGAAAAAAGCCTCATTTATAAGATTATTTCTTTGTTGCTTTGTATGTCCCTCCCCCACAGTATAACCCCTGCTTTCACTGTAGTCAGTATAATTTGTGGAGGGGAAGGGGAAAAACAAATCATTTAAATAGGGATACAGGTGGACCCATGGCAACAATGAGATTTACAAGTCATTATGTCGAAAAAGAACTTTACAACTCTGGTGGGGGGTCTGGGGGGTGGGGTGGGAGGATTGGGGGGTTGGGAAGGGATGGGAGGGGGAAACAAAGGAGGAGGCTACAATGCTTGATAAGAAATGTACTCATTATCCTGCCCATGTAATTGTAACTGCTCTGTACAGTATTTTCACAATAAAAAAAAGAAAAAGAAGAAAGTCTCAGATGGTGGTGCTTCCCTTTACCTGTCTGTTCTCTGTGCCTGAGGAGTCTGTGCCCACCTGGCAGCCCTGCACCTCTCTGGTCTGCCTACTGGGTGGAGTGCCAACTCCATATACCTATGATGCTAATGCAGAACCAAGCCACCTGGGCCAGGGCCAGTGATTTCTTTTAGTAACAAAGTTCCTGGAAGATTTATCCACACCAAAACACCAGTGACGACACTGGCTTGACCTTCCTGTCCAGCAATCCCATCCTATTCTCTCCTCTCTCAACATGCTCCTGCTAACTTTACCACAATGAGAGCTTTCTTGGGGGCTGCAAGACACCTGGGCTCCCAGAGTCAAAAGTACTTTCATCTTCCGGACTTAGGAGGGAAAATCAACTATAAACCACCTCGTGCTAGCTTCATTTTCAGAAGCAGGTCAGCCACGGTTTTCATAAAAGTTTATAGTAATACAATGGCGTTTTCTCAGTTTCTGATACAGGTTTTAAACGACTTTCTGCACTCACGAATGTATCCCGCCACTCCTGGGTTCCAGGTCTGCATAGAAAGAATCACGAGCATCCTGAAGAGGGCGGCAGGGCCATGTCTGCGTCTGAGTGTCCTCCACTGGCCATCACTCCAGTCCTCCGCTTGGTGCTAACGCCTCCTTGCTGCTCTCTTCTCCTGTGTGTTTCAAGTAGGCAGAGCACACCCAAAATAAGCTTCAACCTGTAAACCCCACCGCAACCCTCCAGCACACTGCTCTGTGCCCTGGAGCCTGCTGAGCCTCCAACCCAGATGCTCCTTGGGACACTATCGCCACTTGGTGCCGCGAGCGCCCCTGCTGGTGTCTGCGAGGAAGTGCAGACCAGACATAAACCCCGCACATTTGCCAGGTTGAGCCTGGCAGGAGCCCTTAGAGACTCAACTGTGCTCACACACTGGGTCCAGTCCATACGTCCTCTTCAATGGTTCAATATGCTTCGGACTAAGGAAGTGAGTTATGAGCTGAGTGATATTTTCACACAGTGCAAAATATTGAGCACTCCCTTTAGTAAACTTGCATATTCATTCAAAATGAGAGGTTAGGACAGAATAAACTACTGTGGCTTTAAGGAAATAATTACATAGAACAAAAGCTTCTCTGGTGTTACCACTTTACTATGTCTATTCCAGCTTGGGAATGAGACATATCACTAAATGACTAAAAACCTTTGAACTGCTGGGCACCAGTGGCTCATGTCTATAATCCTGGCTATTCAAGAAAAGAGATCTGAGGATCACAGATCAAAGTCAGCCAAGTCAGCAAAGCATGTAAGAATTTTATCTCCAATTTATCACACACATAGCTACACAGAGAGAGAGAGAGAGAGCGCCAGGAGCGGAGCTGTGTAGAGCACTAACCTTGAGCACAAAAACACAAGGACAGCACCCAGAACCTTAGTTCAAGCCCTAGAACTGGCACAAAATAATAAGATAAATTAAAAATAAACCTAATCAGAAAATGGCACAGGGCATCAACTGGAATTTTTCCACAGCAGATGTACAGCCTCATGAAACATCACAAGTCGTTGGGAAAAGGCAAAACCACAGGGTCTCACCCCTTTACATCCACTAGGATAGCTGTTATAAAACAAGCAGAAGCAAGTGGAGCTGTGGCTCCATTTGCAGATGGCTAGCCTTCAACAGAAAGCACAGGAACAGAGCTTATACCTGGGTTCAAGCCCAAGAGTAGCACACATGACAAACCAAACACAACAGAAAGCTGATATTGGTAGAAATGTGAAGAACATGGAACCATAGTTCCTTGCTAGCTTTAATAGGTTGTTTTGTTTGGCAGTAGTATGATTGGAACTCAGGACCTCACACTAGACAGAGCTAGGGCCCTTCCTTTTTCTAGCTTTTTAGTTATTTTTCGAATATTTTTCCGTTATCTTTCTGGTATTTTTCCTTAAAGTCAGCTTTGGACTTCAGACCTCTACTGCTGTCTCCTCCTTAGCTGGGATTACAGCTGAGAGAAACCAAGTCATCCTAGGACATTACTCCATTTCAGCAGGAAGCAGCTAGACATGGACAATAAGTCTTTTCAAAGAAATTGGTGGGTAAAATTGAAAGTGGGGAAAATATAACAGGAACTGACATCTGAATATGTTCACATATGAAGATTTAGCTCATGACTTAACCAGGATGCATCTAGTTACTTGAATTTTTTGAAGGCAGCATTTTTCTTATTTCTCACTCTCCTATCCCCCCAACTACTTACCATTCCCTAGGAGAGGAAACTCAGGATGATTTTCATACCTTCAGTCAAGGTTACCACACTCCTCTCATCATCTTGCTTTCCAAAATATTGAAGAAACATTTAGGACAAGGACTACATCTCTGGAGACTGCTGGTTAACACATTATGAAATAAACAGGCCCAAGACCACCATTAGGCCGGACCTTCATGCCTCAGCACTTAAATCCATCAGGAAGTCCATGCTCCTGGACCTGTCCATAAAAGCCTCCTTCTTCCCCTACCCACAAGGACTGCTCTTCTTTCTCAGACAATAGCTCAAGTAGGTCTCATTTTGCCTGCAAATTAATAAACCTTTATTTCCTTTACTCTTAAGACATTAATCTCACTAATATTGAATTGACATTGAATTCAGGGAACTGAATTTCCAGTAATATGGGAGAGTTGGGAGTTGCAGACAGGGGTCATTTTGAGACTACAAAACAAAGTCAACAACACAAATTCCAGAGTAAAGTCTAAATTTTCAAAAACTGTTAACAATATGGACTGTAAGCAGTGATCTCCAAAGAAACAGTTTATGTCTCAGTTCAAGGGGAAAGGCACCGGAAATGGATGGAAGTATGGCTCTGACAGGTTGAGCAGGTGAATTTGGAGGTAGGAATCTAGAGGGCCCAAGAACCAAGGACTTGCTGAGCTAGTGGCAGGGGTAGGGCTTTGTGACACATCACTCCCCCCCCCCCTGTGACTTAATAGAAAACCAGGTCTTTGTGATGTAGGCCTTCATTTACTATATATTGCCAAAGAAACTCCCAGAGCTCAGTTGCTCAAGAGCAATATTGCGATTCAGATGATGGAGAATCTTCTCTTGTCACTGAAAAGCGTTGCTATACCATGGCTGAGCCCGGAACTCGCCACCTTTGCAATGGATATGATCCTTGCCATTGTGGGTGGCGTGGGGCTCTACCTCCTGCTACTGCTACTTCCCTGCTTCAAGGAAAATCCATCCTCACCAACACCTGAGAGAAAGAACAAACTGACTCAGGTAAGATCTCTAAGGACAGACCACCCAAAAATACATGTGTATTTATATATATGTCTGTGTGTGTATGTGTGTGTATGTATATATATATATATATATATATATATATATATAATTGAGTTTTACTTATCCATTAGAAAAAATGATATTGTAGCATCTGTAAAGAAATGGAAGACTTGGGAAAATTAAGTGAATTAAGTCAGGCCCAGAGAGACAAAAGATCCATGTTTTCCTTTATATGTGGAAGCTAGATTTAGCTTATATACTCACAAATACGGTGGGTATTATGTATGTGTACACAAATGTATTGACTGAGATATGGTAGAGTCAAAGGAGATCTCAAAGTGGAATTCATTAGAAAGCCAAAAATCCAAGTTCAGTAAAATAACAAAACAGGAAATAAGTAATTGACAGGGTGGGGAGGCTTCAAAGGGAAAGAGGGTAGTCAAGGGAGAAGAGGAGGAAATGTAGACAAGAATCCAATGTTATAATCTATCACAGTAAGAAGGGAAAGGGGTGAGTGGGAGAGGAAAGGGAGACACTGTGGAATTAACAGTGATCAAGATACATGATATTCACAAACTGCTTTGTGAAATGGCAACTCTTGTGTACAACTACTTAATGATAATTTTTAAATGGTTCTTTTGTTTTCTGATGTTTTCACTTCAAAACAAGTAGCAAGGCTTCTAGAGGGGAAATTCCAGAAAAGAAGAGAGCCATCTTCTCCTAGGCACTATCAGCACAGGGCAAATGTCAGTAGCATAAGGTAGTATGCTGAGCTCTCAGAACAGCTGTGTGGTGTGCAGCAAGTACCAGGGTTAATTCAAACCCTGAAACTCAGCAACCAAGGACTGAGGTCCTGAGAGCTGAGGACCTGAACACTCAGCCCTATGTCACAGCAGGTGCCTGAAAACTGCACTCTCCCCAGTGTTAGGCTGATTAGAGGGCTGTTCAAAGCCCATGTCAACCTCCCACCAGAGGCTAAGGTCACCTTTGGACTCAGGAAGGAAAAGCCAACCTGGAAGCTGAAAGGCACCTGGAAATCAGGGTCTTGGTCCTGAGAATAGAAAAAGCACTGAGGTGATCTTTGCTGTCTATCTCATATAAGAAAAACAGAAACAATTAACAGCCACACTAACTGTGTAGAAAGGAAATGCAGGGACACAGGTGAAGACATCATTTTATCCAGAAACACCAAATATCTCAACTTGTCTAGGGAAAAGAAAAAAGTAAAGAGGTCTAAGTCACGTTTTTCTCATCTCTCAGTATTCTGTGGAGAAAAGAGGCCAGATCAAGTGCAGGAAGAAACGTGCTGCTCTGAAAGGTAGGCTCCGCACTTTCTCCCAAGGGAATTTGATCTCAGTCTCTGTCAGCAAGAGCCAGGCCACCAAGTATTTCAGTGTGTAAAACCTTAGAGTCCTGGGAAAGAAACCAGAACTGGAGACACTTCTCAGGTTCTCTGCGTGGAATGAAGCTGTGACATGCATCATAAGAAATGGGAGGGGCTGAGAGGCTGTGAGGTAACACTGATGATATGGAGGTATGGCACACAGGAGGAGGGGCTGAGAGGCTGTGAGGTCACACTGATGGTGTGGATGTGTGTCACACAGGGCGGGGCTAAGAGGCTGTGAGGTCACACTGATGATGTGGAGGTGTGTCACACAGGGCGGGGCTAGGAGGCTGTGAGGTCACACTGATGATGTGGATGTGTGTCACACAGGGGGAGGGGCTAGGAGGCTGTGAGGTCACACTGATGATGTGGAGGTGTGTCATACAGGGGGAGGGACTGAGAGGCTGAGAGGTAACACTGACTTGATGAGGAGCTGTGAACTTCAAGCCCACATGTGGCCCAATTCAATTCCCTAAAAACTGTATTAGCAATGAGATGTCCTTTTCCGGGTCCCCCAAGAGGTTGTGCAGGTTATGGAGGTTTGCAGGGCAGGTGGTCCCTTGTAAATAAAGAAGCACTACCCCTCTATATGCCCTCTTAGCACTGGTAGCCATCTTGCAGCCATGGATACAGATCTGGGATCCAATGTGATCTTCCATGTTCTTTAATAGATGTTTCCTTCAGCCTCCTCTAGGTTCCAGAGGCCCTGCCTTATCTGCCTAACCACCATCTCTGTTTCTAGTTTGCAGAGAGATTCGGGAAGAGCTTGAGGAGATACATGACTTAGCTTCCTTTCTGAGTAGGTAAGGTTTCCACATGTCCCTGTGCCTGCATTTCTACCCCAGGGAATGGAATTGTCTTAGGGTTGAGGGAGATTTCAGGTTGGCCTGGGATGTGGCTGAAGCCACAGGATGCAGAAAAGTAAGGGCTTTATAAATGTCAGGGTGTGGTTCTGTGGGTGCCACGGACAGCAGGTAAATACCCTTGCCCATACAGGGTCTGTCTGTTGCTGAATGAAGTTTGTCTCCTGTCTCCTACAGCGCCCTAGGGAAACTTGATGACACTAGAAGCTTCCAGCGTTTCTTAAAAGGAGATGCCTTAGGTGAATTTTTCAACTCAGAATCTTCTACAGCCCACCTGTCAGCAAGGGACTCTGAGGAGGACACTTTCTCCAGCACTGTGTCCCTGAAGGCTTCCCCATCTCCTTCATCCGGTGGCTTGCAGCCTCTGGCCTCCACCTTATCACCAGTCCACATAGGCTCCTCAGTTTCTGTTGAGTCACACACATCCCAGAGTGTGTCTCAGCCTCCGGAGCCGTCCATTGCTCTAGGAGAACAGTCTTTTCCCTGTTCTCATTTTCCTCCACCTGTGGCCTGCACTCCACCCAGGCACGACTCACACTCGGGTCTTCCCCCATGTGACATCAGGGAAGTCCCTCCAGAAACCACCCCACAGAGCTCTCCAACCAACAGCTCTAGGGTGCCTTCTCCTATTCCAGCCCTCAACTCTGATCTCCTGGATTTTTCAGCCAGAGTGCTTAGTAAGAGGGCAAAGCTGAAATCAGCTTGTCAGGAGAAAGAACACCCTCTGGATTCTCAGGGGAACATGATGAAGTCACTGGGCAGTGCACAAGACACTGCCATCCCTCAGCCCCTCTGGAACACCGAGGGAAAACCACAGCAGCTTCCTGATTCTCAGGAGCTGTTCTTCCCCATGGTCTTGCAGAAATGCTGCCAACTGTTCTGGGGCCTTCCCTTCCTGCACAGCGAGTCCCTGGTGGCTCCTGTCCAAATGTCTGGTCATCCACTAGACTTACCTTCTGTTTTATTCAATAGTTTCTTGCACTTAGTGCCGGTACAAGTCCAAGCTAACGTACCTCCACCATACTTTGTACAGCAGCCCTTACTGCATCATTTGGTCAAATCACAACCCTTCACTCCAACTTTACCCTGGCCTCAGCCTTCCCCAGAGGCTGAGATCCAGGCCTGTACCCATGACACGTTCTCTACACCAATCCAATCTTGTCCTTCACCTCCAGTGACGTCCTCTACTATCCCACCTGTTGTTCAACAGCTAGAACATCATCTCGAGAAGAAACACCTAGAATGTCATAGAATTTTACCCTCTGTGGTCAAACAGTCTCACAAAATCTTTAGTCAAGATCAGGCCACCTGGAACCAGAGAGGCTCTAGCAACCATTCAAGTGAGTTTAACAGCCTTGAGATGAGGGAAAAGCTGGAACATCACCTCCAAGAGAGGCTCCTACAGCACCTCTGTAAAACAACTGGCAAGATCCAGCTGCCTCCTGAGAATTTCACAGGAGCAGATCAGACAGACAACAAACATATGTCTTTACAGAACTCTACATCTATAGATAATTGCTATCAGAATATTCAGAAATACCCAGTATCCCAGGGATGGGAGAACTCTAGAAAGGACCAGCAATACTCTGTGAGCAGAGTAGTGAGCGCTCTAGACAGGGATGCAGAGAGCTGCTCAGGGGATTTTCTAGAGGCCAACACACAGAGCAAAGTAGAAAGTGACTTGATGAGTCCAGGTAGTGATTCAGGATATTTTCCCCCAACTCATTCAAATAACTATCTAAGAGACACCCTAATAACCCATCTCACCACTAAATGGGAGCAGATCAATAGGGACAAGGTCCCTATGTACGTTAGTCATTCCCGGGGCATGACGGATCATGCCTTGGCCCCCCTTGAAAACTCCAATTCTAGCAAGAACACTGGCAGAGAACCACCCTTGGAAATTAGGGAAACCTGCAAGAGCTCCTCCCAGGAGGTTTCCCACATTGATGCTGCCACTCGACAGCTGCTAGATGTGCATATCAAGAAGCTTTGGGCAAAGCACCAGTGGGGCTTATGCCTAAAGGTTCTCAAACCGATAAACATCCTTACTATGAAAAATGTGCCCCCTGTGCCAACTTCACAGGGAGCTTCTCCCTACATGACCAACCACACAGTGAAGGAAGGTGCATGCCAGAGAGAAGCCCTTCCCAAAGAACAAAAAATAGAGAGAGAAAAAACTGAAGGCCATACCATACAACCTTCTCAACCACATTCACGACCTGAAATCCCAAGGGGAACACAGTATAATCATAACTGTGGTCCCCTGGAGGTCTCTCCAACTAGAAAGGAAGGTAGACTGCTTTTTAAGACTCAATCTTGTATCCTAGTAGGAAGAAATTGGCACGATGACATTGTGCCAAGATCAGAGGGAAGCAGTATAGAATCAGTTAAAAGCCAAGCAATGGGCATGTCTTTGACACAAGAGAACGAAAACCTCTGCCACAGAGTGTCCATCCAAGAGGTCTTTGTTCCACCCAAATCTGAGCACACAGAAGATCTCTCAGAAATGGATGAGGATGAAGAGAAACAGCCCAGTAACATGGATTTCAATAACTTGAACCTCAGAAATTCAGAACTTCTGAGGACCAAACAAACACCATACTCCTCGAGAATTTCAATTTCTAACCACCCAAGAGAACAGGAGGCAGGGTCAAGTAGTACTAGCGAAAGCACTGCTTTTGATGATATCCTGCAGGACTGCAATGTTAACGCATTCCTGCAAGATGGTGGCCCTGAGGTACTGATTGCTGACGACATGTTGGCTTCCCAGAGTTCTCTGACTAGCTCACAGAACCTTTCCGGAAGTAGCACATCTACTTTCTATAAGCCACGCACTCCCGAATCAAGGGGAGGGCACATCACGAAGCAAGAACCTAAGTCATCTAAACTCCAGCACCTATGGTACAGCAAAATGTTTCAGGGTCCTGACGAAACACAGAGCAGTGAGAGGCCCAAAGCTACAACACAGAAAGCCAAGTCTGCAGGAATGAGGCCCTCACAAAGCTGCAAGCTGAACTCTCCTGCCCAGGTCAGGAAAACAAGAACTGTGAGGAAGGATTCCATACCTGTGTCTGAGAAAGCACAGCATCCCCCAGAGTCTCAGTTCGGAAACCGGATAAAGAAGTTTTTTATGTCCATTTTTTCTATAAAAGAGAATAGTCAGGCAGACTCACTGCCAAATTCAAAAAGCCAGTCATCCAATAGCAAGAACCAAGACTTAATGACAAGCAGAACCCAAGACGTTAGAGGGCCTGAAGCCCAGACACTCAAGAACACCATTGGGAAAATCCTAGAAGAAGAAATTCACCGTAGGCCTTCTGCCTCCAACAAAACTTTCCACAAAGAATTTCAAGCCCTCACAGATAGACATTCCCACTCCCACATGGCTCCTCCTTACCAAGGAGGAGGCCAAGTGAAAACCAGCAAGGTCTCTTTTCCCCAAACCGGCCCCACTGGCCATAGCCGTCCTCTCAATGACAGAAGAGCCACAAACCATAACAACGCTGGGACAGACTTGCTTCCCAGAAAGCCTGTGTCTCTACTCAGCCATGCCTACCAGCATAGGCCAAGGGGGACAAATGTCTCAGGCCAGCACATCCATTGCCCACGGCACTGTCTTCTTGGTGGGTTAGTCAGTCATGCATCTTACATTTCATATCCTCAGGACAAACTCCAGTCCGTGCATAGCAAATCTGGTTTTTGTGAATGAGTGCAATCTCTGTCAACTGACATCTCCCTCCTCAAATTGCTTAATACAGTCTTTTCATGTCATGAGATGTAGTGGCTTCTTTTTGTGCCTTCAACTGGGATAGGGATGGGCAGTCTGTGGTCTTCCTCAAAGCAGCTTCTAGAAGTGATGGGCACATGACATAATGCCACTGAAGACTCACCTCAATCCCTCATTTCACCTATTGTGTCCATTTAATCACTACAAAAACTTCACAAAGCCTTTTGGGTTTGTAAGAATAAGGAAGCCTGGGAAGACAGCTTACTAGGATGTTCAACCTAATGAACTTGGTTCGGTTGGAACATCATCTGTTGTGCTTGCTAGCTATTCAGCTAGGACAGAATGTTGACTAGCAAAGCCTAAGTTTGTCTTATATCTGCCATTGACACTTCTCTGGTAATCTTCACAGAAGCTGTCTCAGCCACTGGATGCTAGGGGTCTGCAAGGAAGGCCATGCTGCCATTCATGTCTAGTGATCCTTGGCTCTGCTGGGTCACCGGTTTGAGTTGCATTGAATTCCAGAAAGCATAGAAGCAGATCAGCCTGTTCTCTAGAATGTTGGCAGTTGACTAATAATTTATTGAGACTTTTTGAGTTAGATGCTAAAGCCTTTCATTGTTCCTTTTGCTGGAATGTAGAATAATCATCAGGGATGGAGAATAGTATAGTTGGTTTGGGAGATAGTATGGGATGTGGGCCTTATCCTGACTTGAGCCACTTTGGGGGGCAAGATTTTGTCTCAAATTCAGCTTAATTCATGATTAAAAGCTTTAGATAGTCTCTGTGTTATTGGTGGTGATGGATGTGGGGTTTGTATTCAGGGTCTGGACACTGTCCCTAAGCTTTATTTGCTCAAGGTTAGCATTCTACAAGAGTGTCACTTTCAATTATTTGAGGCTCATAAACTTTCCTGTCAGGGCTGCCTTTGAACAGTGGATCCTTAGATCTCAACCTCGGGATTGAGTTGGTTTGCAGGCAGGAGACCCAGGCCTGCATAGTCTTTAAAGCTCTATCAGCCAGAAGCTGAACTGGGAATGTTATAAGAAACAAGTTTGAGTTGTTTATTCTATGGACTCAGGCAGTCTACACCAGAAACCGCACAGAGAGCCTAGGCCCCGTACAGGTAGGTACATTTCTGCAACACGAGTTTTTCACATAAATCCACATATTTTGAATTAATCAGTGACAGTACAAATTCTGATGACCCCTGCAGATCTACCCAAAAAGAGGATATGTTTAGTAGGGTCTGGATATAGGCATAAACTTATAAACTCAGAATAAATGTATAGCTGGTATTGAAAAAGCCAGACCTCCTCTTTCTGAAGGTTGGTGACAACACTGAGATTGTGTGATTGTATGGTTTTTTTTAACATGGACCATCTGACGCTGGGGAAGGAATGTGAGAGGATCTTAGCAGAGGCTGTTCCCCTTCCATCACATGACTCCACATCCACATCAGTCCAAGCTTGTTCTGTTGTGCTGTATCTCCTTCCAAGAGCTACTATCATTTCAGACAAGCTTTGATATTCCATCAGTTATATCAATATTGAAGAGCCCATGGGCACATTCTACAGGAATCTTGTTACCTTTGTCCTCGTAACATCCATAATATATCTGAAGGACCCTTTGGTTAAATAGAAACAATACTGGCTTAAAATAGATCACTGTATGTTGAAAATAAACTATACAACTTGTGGGTGAGTATGGGCAAGGAAAACAATTGTTTAAAAGAAATGTACTATTATCTGACATTTGTAACTAATAACCCTCTTACATATCTTTATAATTAAACAAAATGAAATGACACCAAAAAACAGAAAACAGAATATCACTTGCCCCCTTTTAGTCCTAAAATCTTTTTGGAAGGCAAAATAATTCAGAACATGAGGCACACACCTATCATGATTAATTATGATTCTAAGAAAAAATATAAGGAAATTTTACTGACATAGATTTGCATCATCTTGCCAGTTATCCTAGTTACTTAGGAAGCTGAGATCTGAGGATCTCGGTTCAAAGTCAGCCTGGGCAGGAAAGTCTGTGAGACTTACCTCCAATAAACCACTAGAAAACTGGAAGTAGTGCTGTGGCTCAAGCAGTAAAGCGCTCGCTTTGAGCTGAAGAGTGCAGGGACAGTACCCAAGCTCAGAGTTCAAGCCTCATGACCAACAAAAAAAAAGATTTACATCAAACGAGTGATGTAAGCCACTAAATATCCAAATTAACATTTTAAGGTTTTCATTGACATTAAATTGCCCATGGCATTTTAACAAATGCTTTTAATGCATTTGGTCAGGTACAAACACATACAAACACCCCACTCTACAGTAATCCCCCTTCTATATCATTGGCTTTGGTGGTTTGATTTTGTTTCTCCTAGTTTACATAAATGAGTGAAAACAATGTGTTACTTGTTTTGTGTGAATGGCCGATTTCACCCAACATGAACATCTCCAGGTCTATGCATTTTTTAAGCAAATTAGATCATTTCATTCTTAATGACCAAGTAGTGGATATTTTCATTATCTGTTTTTCAAACAAAGTAACATGGCAAATACATGATCAACTGTTCAACATTCCTAGGCATAAAGAAGATACAAATCAAAACTACACCAAGAATGGTTATCAAGAAAACAAATAGGAGCTGGGCACAGGTGTCTTAGGCCTGTAATCCTATCTACTCAGAAGGCTGAGATCTGAGGGTCATGGTTTGAAGCCAGCTGGGGCAGAAAAGTCCATGAAAGATTTAAAAAGCTGCAAGTGGCACTGTGGTTCAAGTGCCAGATGACCATCCTTTAGCAGTGAATCTCAGAGACAGTGCCCAAGCCCTGATTTCAAGCCCCAGGATCAACACACACACACACACACACACACACACACACACACACACACACACACACACTAACAAATACTAGTGAGGATGCAGTGGGAATAGAACTGTTATTTACTGCTGGTGGGAATGTAGTCTATTGAAATTAGTTTGCAAAGTCGGATGCTGATGATTCACGCCTGTAATCCTAGCTACTCAGAACACTTAGATCTGAGGATCCTGGTTCAAAGCCAGCCCGGGCAGGAAAGTCCATGAAACACTTAGCTCCAATTAACCACCAGAAAACCAGAAGTGGTGCTACCTCAAGTGGTAGAGTTCTAGCCTCGAGCTGAATAGCTAAGGGACAGCACCCAGGCCCAGAGTTCAAGTTCCACAACCGACAAAAAATAAATTAGCTTGGAGTTTTCTCAAAAATCAAAATCAGATATCCCATATAATCCTTCTATATCACTCTGGGAACATACCTCCCTCTTCAAAATAAATCAAAGTCGGCTTACAATGGAGACATCTGTATAACCACGTTTTGAGGTGCACGATGAGCAATAGCCAAATCATCAAGCCTCTCCCAAGTTTTACAAAGCAATTCCTTGATTTAGAAACACTGAATTTTATGTTGTGTGCTATTTGGCAATGTGCACATTGAAAATAGAAGTTCAATTTAGTATCTTCAAAGCAAAGCTAAATATTCCTTTTTTATATCACCCCTTTCATTATTCTCCATCATCTCCTCTGAACCCCATTTCTTATGTCAATTTTCTTAATTTTCTAAGATGTGCATTGAATTTTATGACTGCCTTATCCCCTCCTTGCCTCTCTTCATTTGTTTACTTCCTTCATTTTATCCCACCACCCCTACCTTTAGAGTACTTTTTCCTTGTGTTTATTTTGTTGGTCCATGAATTTGCCCTTCTGAGGAAGTATACCCTTATACTGGTTTTTAATTGTATAATTTTTAAATTTACTTATCTTTCTAAAATCTAAACAATAAATTTATAGTAGGAACTGTAAAGAAGTGGGAAATAAATATGATCCCTTTTCATAAGATAATCCCTAAAATACTCAGTTATTAATTGCATGGAAAACATTAGACACATTCCTGATCCACCGACGAATAGTAAATCCATGATTTGAGCAAAAACATCAATTACTCAGTATTAAGAAGATGGAAACTACAATGTAGAAACTAATGATTCAATCATAGCTGTATTAAATCATATCATTCTGAAATTTCACTCTTGGTAACTTGAAATCATAGTTGAAATCACAGTAGTGTGTCTAGTGCCTCCAATGTGTACAGGGTATATGGGACACTCATGACTTTACAACCCATGATTTCAGCATGTGAGATACAGAGAGAGTGGTCCTTCTGTGGAAATTAATACTTAGACAAGCACTTGTGAGGAAGAGCAGAGAGACACAAGTCATCACTGTTACTTCCTAGGCAATTACATACCTCGGACAAGATCATGTCCTTGTCACCATACCTGCACTCAGTGTTCATGACTGATGTCACCTACAGCTGGGAGGCAGTAGTACCTGAAACCCTTCACAGTTCCTTATGTAGCAAGACTGTGGAAACAAAAAGACAACCAACAAAAGCAAAATGTAGAATGAATTAGAATGAAACCCTCACAAAATGAACTATGGATAGATATTTCTGATTGTTTAGGGGATGGAGATCTCAATAAATTTAAAGTATGGTTTTGTAAGGACATTAAGAAGAAAAAAATGAAGAAGAGTATCACAACCTG